CAGTGTATTATCCGATCTCCGAAATTATTTTCTGTTTATTAAACATGGAAGACATGAACCGGGATAAATGGTTTATGAGATTAAAGAATGTAGGATGCAAATTATTCAGCACAGTTCTTTTATTACACTGGAAGCTGAGCTCAGTGATGGAAAATTACCTGGCTTACCTTTTGTAAAGTCTCATGGCACTCACCATACAAGCGTGGTATGAAATTAAAATTGATTTATTGATTAATCTGGCTATTCATCTAATTATGTGGCTTCTTTGTGTTTTTCATATTGTGGCATATCAATACAGTTGAGTTTTAGGTTTTTCTATTGCAGCAGCAAATATCTGGGTCCATAAGTAGAGCATGATGGTAAACTCTATGGGCCCTCAACACAGTGCCTTAAAAGTAAACCACCTAATCCAGACCCGGAGATTTGGCACCATTGAAAGCCCAGAGTTGTGATGTCATTGACACGAGCACATTTCACACAATGGAGCTTGTAACACACCTTTGACATGACAAGTACTAGTCATTATGAACTAATTTTCCATGTTTACTTTTTAATTCACTCTAGTAGGAGTCATCCTTTATTGACAACTGGCAACTGACCAATGTACACAGATATATTATACTTTAATTCAACTTAATCCCATAATGTCAAAATCTCTTTTTGCCTTCAGGATCAGATATACAAACTGGTGACATCACCATTTCACTCTTGCATTGTCTTATTTTTTATGTGTCGCACCACCAGTAATACATGCAATCCAATGAATCTTGAAGGAGTAACCAATCTTTCCAATGAACGTTCTGAGGTTAAATATAAAAGAAAGTTACTCAAACCCATCCAAGTATCTGTACGGATAAAAAGTGAAAATGTATTTAAAGCCAAGAACAGGAGATAAGTCTTTACCCAAAGTGTGGTCCAATTCATACTCTTTAACCTAAATTGATTTTTTTTCCAGAAACAGCTGGTTGAGATCCTTGCATCAATTAAAAACAAACAAACAAACAGGCTAAATATGCCCAATGACCTCTCCTTGTCTATAGCCTTTTTATCTTCTTTTGCTGTTGTGCCCCTGGTTCAATTCTACAATAATAATAATTTGAAACTTTTATCTGTTGAGGTTATGTCAGAGATGATCCCAGGGTACTCAGAGACAGGGCAGGTTCTTAATGTTGCTGTCAAACAGAAATCAATGTATACATTCATTTAATTGCTGGTACTATATCACCTGGGTACACAGAAATATTCAAAAACATAACAAAATGCTTTTTCAAATATTTTTAAACATTAAAAATTGCTTTTTTAATCAGATATTTTATCTACAGAGAATTTAAAAAACCTGAACAATTAGATAAAGCACAACTGTGTTGCTGTGCAGCTTCACCTATCATTACACCCAGCATCATACAGTATGCAACAGAGGTAAGATACACAGGTGGCAACTTTACAAACTGTCCTTCCTCGAGTGTCCTATAATAATGGCGCCATGTGACAACTCCTGCTCCAGGATCAGACAGCCTTGCACTTATAGTTCAGAAAAAGCTCATTTAGTCCAGTTCCCGTTGTCAGTAGGGCAGGAACAGAGAAAGAGGCCGAGAGGATTTCCCTGTCTGAAATCTATCTGAAACTCCTTGACTCGGTTTTCTGAGGTCACAGTTATCTCGCCGTCATAGCTTGCTTACGCTTGCGTGAGTTAATGGAATTACTTGCGCCTGAAAATGCTGGCTCCACCCAACATGTATGCACCCAGTGCATAAATAATGAGTCTAACGATACACAAGTTTGTGTTTCAGTCTATAGTAAATATCCTGTTTCTTGATTGTGTCTGGCTTCAGCAATGGCAAACAAAGAAACCACGAATAAAAATCAAATCAAATCGAATCAAAGTTTGTTTATCAAATGCACAACAATACAGCGTGCTGCGGTAGTTGCTGGCAACGAAATGTCTTTTCTGCGAGCTCACAAAAAACAAGAATCACAAGAATAACAAAAATAAAAAAAAATAAAAAATCACCAAAATCACTAAATTAAGGTTATGAAAATAAGGTTACATAATAACGGATAATAATGCAATATACAGTATACAAGTAGTGCAGTATGCTGAATACAATGAAAACTGTGTGTCCATGTAGCCATTACGAGTGATATAGGAGCTGCAGGTTGGCTGCTTAGCAGTCTTACTACCCGAAGGTAGAATATCCTGGATGTTCGGCAGTTTGCAATACATACTGAGATGGTGTAATCCTCAGCCGAGAGTCCACATGCAATTAAAGGGTTTCTTATCGAGAGTCTGTCAAAAACCAGGAAACCAATTTATTGCCCACATCAAATCCAGACTGGACAGTTTTATTTTAACAACATCTTATCTCAAGCAGAATGTTCCTGACATTAAGGACGTGATGTAATTGGTTGGCTTTGCTGTATAAATAGGTCTCCAGATTGTCACCATCAAATGGTGATTTGTTCTCAGTGGACCTACCTCTTATAGCAAAGGTATAAAAACCAACAAAGATGAAAAAGACGCAGGCTGAAAGTGCACACCTTAAGCAGCTGATGACTGTGTCAGGCTAAGTGGTGTGGAGCTCAGTATCCATGTGTTTGCAGAGTGCAGAAGGAAAACTAAGTGCTGCTTAACTTGCTGTTCAGGTACTCTGGGGAGTGGCTGTCACGAAGTAGTGCATATTGAAAGTTATAAATGCACAGATCCTTTGCACATTAGTGAACCATCAATTATAATACTCGGTGCCTTGATTAGATAATATTTATTGCTTTTACTTCAATTACAGGATATATTCTTTAAAGAGCATATTTGTGCTGTTATTTATTTTGAAAAACTTGGACTGGTCCTTAGAAAACAATATCTGTGAAACACAATTGCTTTACTTTGTGCCATTTCCTTTTTTTGGGCTGTAGCACAAGGCCAATTAAAAGAAAAAAATGTCACACATTTTCAAGTTATCAAGGATGATTAGATTTATGTCTTTATGTATCCAAATAAGTAAGACTCTGTTATGTTGAATTGATTTACAATTTAAAACAGATGCCAAGACAATAGATTAACTCAAAAATGTCACATGTGCAGACATGTGTTGTGAGTTTGAGGTGAGTTTTCATTGTGAAAGCCAGCCTAATCGGGATCACCAGAGTTTAACCCTCGTCATTATTTTCCAAACTAAACTCCTGCCCTCTGCACATAAAGCAGCAAATGTATTTAAAGATACATTAGGACATTGCATATTATCTAAAATGTAAAAAAATGTCCTGTAGATGTTATGGGAAAAGAACAAGTGCTGGAAAATACGCAAGGTGCAAAGTGGGAAGCAGTGTGGAGGGTGAACTGGGAAACTTTATTTTATTTGAATTCTTTCTCTTTGTTTAATGCCCCTAGTAAGAGACCAATCCATCCATCCTTACATTATTATTTTCTAACCATCTTATCCAATACAGGGATGTGGAAAAGCCAGTGCCTGTCTCTGCAAACAACGGGCACAAGGCAGGATACACCCTGGAAGAGACACCAGTCCATCACAGAGCACACACAGACACAATCACACTCATACCAGGGCCAATTCTCCCAGAAGCCAATTAAGCTATCAGTATGACTTTGGATTGTGGGGTTAGAGTTAGATCACCCAGAGGAAACCAAAATAAACTCCACCCCAGGCCTGGAATTGAACCCAGGGCCCCAGCGCTGTGTGTCTGTAATGGTAACCACTGCACCACCGTTCTGCCATATAAACATAACGCATGGTATGGATGGCAGTGTGGAGACACAGAGAAGACTCCGGAATCCTGACTGGATAGTTTAAATCCAGGTGAACGCACTGCTGCTTTACACCTATGGAAGACACTTCACCACGATCACTGTAAAAAACCCAGATATAATAAATGGGTTCAAGTATCCCTGCACTTAAAAACGCAATTGTAAATCACTGTTGATGAAAGTGTCAGTCAAATACTAAATTATAGCTGTGAAATAGGGCTGGTATGAATGTTTTTGTTTAAGTGTCTAGGCGAAATCTGAAACTGAACACCTGAATTTTGTTGTAAAATTATCCAGTCTTGTTCAATTGTTTCTCTTTATGTTTCCGAGTTGCTCAATCTTTCAGAACTGCAGAACTGAAAATTATTACTCATTCTTTCTAAAAAACGAGTCTGTCAACATGACTGCATGTTTGGATACAAAACACTGTTCCTTGATATGTCAGGAACAATTTTAACATTAGAGTCATAGTTAGAGAGGGATTTCGAGTTATTGTTAGAAGTTCTTGGTTTCTCATCGAGGATTGAAAAGTATACGGAAAATCTGTTACAGTGTATGGTATGTTTTCCTGATTCTTTCATCAGAAAGAAAAACACACTTAAACTGTGCATGGGATGGTCTGACATTGTATTTCCTTGTGGGCAATGTGTGACCCTTCCAATAGTCCTTCAAAATAAACTAACACCATTGGCGCTGTTGGTCAGTTGTCCACCCCCTACCTGTGTCGTGACAGGGAAAATAATAAGAATGGGCAGCAGTAGGGGGAAAGTAAGTAAGGTCTCAGACGGATCTCGGGAGCGTCTGAGCCCCTCTTTGGGAAGGTTTCCGGAATTACCTGCCGAGCTTTTGACCTGGTCTATTTTATTGACCACTCTTCCTCACGTCCTAATCTAGGTCAGTCTGCTGGGAGGGTTAAGTTCAAGGCAGGAGAAGACTGACGCCAGACTGCTCGTTAAATAAATCAGCCTATGAGTGTTGTTTTTGTGTGTGTGTGTGTATGTGTGTGTGTGTGTTACCCAGGCAGACTGCAAATCCTTCCATCTGGAACAGCATTTTTTTTTTCAGAGATTGCAGTGCATATGTGTCTGTAGATCTTATTTTAACCCCCCCAGTGGGTGTCAAACAGTTCTCCTTCTGTAATCCCTGTCACATGACACCAGTGGAAACCAATGAGGCTGGAGCATGTGCTCAAAAGCCTGGCAGGGCCTGGCTTGGGATCTATTTTGAGACGAAGGTTTGATCGGGGTAGCTTTTGGGGGAGCGTGGCATATGGATATCTGACGAAGGAAGAGGGGAAAAGGAAAAGTAGGGGAGAGAGAAAGAGAAGAAGCTGCAACGTGGATGGGTTTTGCTTGGGAGAGAAGAGGGATGGTTGAACTCAAGGGATAAACTGAAAGCAGCTCAATGACCACCTAAGTAAGTGATAAGGGCACACGCTTCTTTTGAGTTTTTGCTGTGATTGATGGCTTTGAAGCTTTCATGCTTAGAATGGATGAGTTTGGAAATCAGGGCCAATGTTTCTGTTTGATCGCTTGTTGTGTTGGGAAATAGCTGAGCAACAATGTGAGGAAAGAATATGGTGAATGAATATGAGAAACATGCAAGCTTAATCTGCATCCAACACTAGTGAGGTACCATCGTAATCCACCATCATACTTCTTTATTTGTCATATGAACTAAAAACAGAGTTCAAAAGTAGATGTTTTTCATAGCAGATGCCAGGTTCCTCTCATGACAGAAGTGTGTTCTTAGTGTATAATAATGTTATTTGCCACTGCTATGTTATTTGCCACCTTGCATTACTTCTTAGCTTTCTTTAGTTGGGTTTTTATCCAGACAAACCTTCATATGCTGAACCTCCTTGCCATGCTAGTGCAAGGTGTCAGCATGCAGTATCAGAGATGGTGTGGTGAAACGTAAAAACAGAAAAGACAAATTGTTTACTCCTGTACTAGATAGCACAGTCCAGTGCCTTTAGTTTTAAAAAAAATGCAAAAAGGAAAAAAAAATGTCTGTTGTGTTTGACAAGCTAACATATTTCTTTCAATTCTCATAACTGGTTCTACCTATTACATAAAAAAAATCTAGAGAACTTAATGCACTGTACTAATATAATGGTTCATATAAGGAGGTAGAACACTACCTGCATCATCACAAAAATACTTTGAAAAAGGAAAAATTACTATACCCTTAATAATACCAATCCTAACAAGGTAACATTTGAAGGAAAGATACATGAAAAAAATTATGAAAATATAAATGTCAGCTTTGCAGCCTGAATGCCTTCATATATAATGACTATCAACAGGGACACAATGAAAGAAGCAGAATCTTTGTCATTATCTCGTACAGTAACCTGATTATCAAGCAGGATTTGAGGAAAGTGATAAAATACAAAGAAACAAATAACGTAGATTTCTAAGATACAACTACACTTTAATTGGTCTTGGCTTTAGTGTTGGCTGCGTATTGTATTCTATACAGCAGTTCTTCAATCCTGTTAAAAAATTTCTTTAAAAAAATCACAAAGTTCATAAAAGGCCAAGCTAAGTTGGCACAAGACACAGATCTGTAACTCCTTAATACACGTACTTGTACTGCAGGAAATAGAGCACTTGCCAATTCAAATCTGGTAATTATATTATACCCCAAGGGGTTATGAGGTTATAGTGTTTATGAAAGCAAATTAAGCTCATGCTTTTATGTTGGATGACGTCATAGTTCTTATATAAGAAACTTTCAGAACTTATTGGTCTGCACATACTTCTCAGAAACAACTCATTTGCATGCTGACACTGTAATTAATGGACACAGTGATTGATATAAACCCTTCCCCAAAGCCAATACAATCATTCTTAATGTATTCACAATATCTCAAAGGTTTTTAGTGGGTGCTCTATGCAGGCTCAGTTTCAAAGGAAGAAAGCCTCCTTTCCCAATGAGGCACTTCAATAATGTATTATTGTGCTTTTCAGAATATAGTAGTAATTATGGTGGGCTCCTTTAATAGTTTACATTAAAAACAATGTCTCCCTGCGCATATTTTCTAACATTTCTGTCAACAATCCCTAGGTTTTGAAAAGCAATGATCTGTTGCAAGTATGATTTAACATTAAGAGCATATATGAACTTTTTTTTTAGACTCAAACATAGCAGGTGAAAAAAGGAAAGTCTTTGACAGATGCAGGAAGAGAGTTGCAAAGTCAGGACACGAATTTAAACTGAATGTTGTCTTTCCTTTTTTTTTTGCCTTCAACCTCACCCTTGAAATTCCCAGAAGTGCAGCAGCATCATCAGGCCTCAAGGTTTTGGCTCACATGGAGAAAGCCATAATGCGATTAATTCTGATGCCATTTTTTAAAAATAATTTAAAGTCAATCCTTTATTTTACTAGATGTTAGAATAGTTCACTCTATATGGTTTAGATATAAAAGACACCACAATATTAGTTGTATTTACAAAAAATTGAACTAAAGACTCAATGCTGCCTGTAAGACAAATGTGATCGAAACCACGACAGATCTCTCCAAAAAAGACCAAGACATTTTAGCCAATTGCCTTGAAAAATGAATCGCTCTAGTACAGAGGTCTCTAACCCTGCTGGAGGGCCCCAGGCCAGCAGGTGTTACAGGTCATTGCTAAATCAATTCTTAAAAACAAGAATCAATTTGTTATTAATTAGGCAGAGGATTTGGTAATTAAAGTAAATAAAAGATAATTTAGAATCACACTGGATTCCAAGGATACTATGTATCCTTAAGCCCACAACAGAAATCTGGCCCTTAATTGAAAGTTTACTTCAATTCTTTAAAATAAAAGCAGGTGTTGACTTCAGAAACAGGCAACATGACTGGATTGGGGATTTCAGCATTAGGGTTGGAAAGCTCCAACAGGTCACCTTAGGTTTTCTCACATTATTTTTAGTTGGTCTTTCAGGCCCCTACAGGATCTTAGTTCTTCCTTGTTATTAGCCTCCAAAATAAGAGTGCAGTCTTTTTTTCCCCACTGGTCTTCCCTATTTGTTCCATTCATGACTCATTACAATCTGTAGAATGTCTCACCTGCTCTTTACTAAGCACAATATCTTCAAAAACCAGTAGCTCACCATCTACAGATGGCTGATCCCATTTGATCAGGGATGCCTCTCAGTAAGAAACACATGCGCCCCTGACACAGCATTAGCCAGTCTGTTGGCTCTCTCCAAGATAATTCATTTGCTGGTGGTAAGGCCCAGGGAGTGCTCGAGAGCCATCCTGTGCTTTCTAGACTCCTTTCAACTGCAGGGAGAAGAGACACAACAGTAGTGGCAATTTACAAAATGCCTCCAGTCAGCCCTTGGGCAGCTGGTCAATCCTGTTCCCTGGCAGTGCTTTTCAACCCCATTGAGACTGAAACTACCAATCCTCAGGAAAGGAACACGTCCCCCTCACTTTCATCATGACGTTTGGGTAGCAATCCCCTTCCTAGTTACTAAGCAGCCTGTCTGCCCAAGACCTTTGATGGCCCCCAGGACAGGACAGCCAAACATTCCAAGCTTGCTGAGCCCCCCCCCAGTAAGCCAGCTCAACCCATTACTAAAATGATCTGCTCTTGCACTCTCAAACACCCTCCTTCCAAGCTGAAGTGTAGACACATACGCACTCTAACCTTTTGCCTACTAGCAGTTCTTATACAGTAAGTCTTTAAAACAGTCCAGGTGCTCATTACAAGCAGGGCCTATCCTGACAACTCCTTTCCCTTCCCTGGAATTTCACTCCCTCGGAGTGCTAATTACTCAATCAGACCAGGTGTGGCTCATTCTACTGTACAGGTTTTTTCCATTGCATTAACTTGCGATTAACAGGTGGCTCTGTCTAATAGTAGTACCTACTACTATGGTCAAACAGTTCAAATTAATCCTTCAATTCAAATTATTAAGTAAATTAAAGTTACAATTGCATATCTGAGTGCTCAGTTAGGTGGCAGGTTAGTGGGCCTCCAGTATGTATTACATTACATTCATTCCTGCTCTAGTGTATGAAATTACTGAGAGGACAGAAACTCAATTTCTAAGGAGAGGCCTTAACAAGACATTTTAAGACTAGAAGAACAGTTTGCTTTTCCAGAGAACTGTTGATATCAAGAAAATATCAAATATTAAGTGAAATGTAAAGCCATTTATTAGGGGTAGGGTCTAGAGTACTACACTCTTATAAAATGAGAGTTTAGCTCCATACCCTCATGTTTGTGTTGAGTTTATTAAAGCACATGGTCTCTTGGGTTGTCTGGAATCTAAACAACTCCAGTCACAAACACGCATACCAAGAGTGCCTTAATTGATAGAATAAACTAAATTGTTCACTTCAAAAGGTTCCACACAGCACTTAAAAATCAGTTAAATAATTTAACATTGTTCTAGATGAAAGCAAATTAACAACTATCTATGGTAGAGAAAATAACGTCCATCACTGTTTTAATCTTTCTCAATTAAATTAGAGAAATGTTAGCATTTACAGAGTGACATACAGTATATAGAAAACTTTGTTTCTGGAGACCTGATGACATGAACCTAAACATGTTATGGCACAAAACTGAAATAGTATATCTGTTTCTAGAATCATTTATTGCCTATACTTACTTCACTTAAAATAGATCTTGGTAACAGAGGTCTACTTTAAGTATTGGTACAGGGATCTGTGTTTTCTTTTCTCCTATAGAGTTGATGCATAACCATTTATATTAAGGACAAAGCTTAAATGTGTAGAAGGAAGTACACAGAACTTGTTTACAGCAGTACCTTAATAATCTCATTTCTCTATGATGCTGCTTCACTAGAAACAGCTGAATAACATTATCCTGACTCCAGTGAACTCAGGTAAGGCTGATTCATTCATCCTAAACTGGAGGTGTTTTTCCCTGAAATGCTTGAATTTACAGTATAGCTATAACGGGGGTGAAGTGAGATGTACATGCTGGATCCTGCATGCTATCTTAAAGCAGTTCCAGCAAATGGAATACAGACACAATAATGTCAGAAATGCCAAAATCATGCCACATATGGCTGGATCTCCCTGCTACTCATCTGGCAGAGATTTTTAAAGTCTACCTTTCTTGGTCACCTCAGCTGGGCTTTTTTGACTTGTTCTCCAATGACTGGAGACAGCTGCACACCTGTGCTCTTCCAGTACTTTCTGAGGTTTGCTGGAAACAATTACTACTGTACTTCAGTCAAAGCAGAAGAAACAAAAACCCTGCTCCTTATACAAGAGCTCTATCTAGATTTGCATTGGTAGTGTGGATGATTTTCTAGTTTTTCCTAATATTAATAACATCCCTTAAAACAATAAGACTTTCTTCAAGAATCCTTTCCTGTGTGATACTCAAACTGTCTAAACTCTAATATCTTTGTGATAGTGCTCATTTGCCTAACCTTATATACCCCGAGTGTGGCCCCTCACCTTGACACACCTGTGCTCAATTAATTGAGGTCACATACCCCACTTGCTTTAACAAGTTTTGTTTGATTTTTTACAGTCTATTTTTTTGGAACTTCACAATGTAAATATGAAAGGGCCCATAATAGACACCCACTGTAACCCTACCCTTTATTTTCCACACAAGTCAAACAGGTTTATAATGTCCCTCTAAACTGTAGAACTAGGTACAAGGTCTTCCTAATTATCCCACAACTGTTCTTATTTAAAATATGTTAAGTCCTTTTACATTTGCCCTAGCAGATGTCTTTCACCTCAACTCTTTGGAACCCAAACAATAGGCATGTAAGGGATGCAGGTATATACAGGGCTAATTAAATATTTTTTATGTTTCTTATAGATCCGTGTGACATCCAGTTATAACTTTTTCTCATGTAAGAAATGCAGCTGAATCACCAAAATGTTAATGCCTAGAGACAAAATACATCTATTCAGTCTGTTCCCTAGGCAAAATTCATGGAGTTAGCACCCTTAAGAATCATCATCCTTTAAAAACTTGTCTGGAAAGAACAACTGTAATCAGAGAGCAAGGGTGAAGCAGGGTAGTCTTGGCACTTATCTAGACAGAAACAATGGTACACAATTACATATAACATAAGTACAAAGTAAGTCATTGCTGGAAAATTTAAATAATTTAATGGGTAGTTTTCTCTATTATAATAATAAAAACATAAAGGCACTTGGTAAAAAAAAGGTTTTGTGGACTTCCCCTCTAGTTTCATTTACGAAGTAAATTTCAGAACTTACGGCAATACACCTGGTATGCTATTTTATTTCTCACATGCTTCTGTAAAACTGTCACCATCACTAATATCCAGGTCAGTGTTCTCAGGCAAGGGGTAGGCTCAGGCTCCCCCACAACAGTGATATAAAAAAGGATGGATGGGTTTTCAGGCAAAGGAGAGATTTACAGAGGGGAAGAGAGTAGTTTTCATCTTCACTTAAAGTAAAAATCTTCCTAAACTCTACTACAGCTGTCATGCACTGAGACAGCTCTTGAACATTACAGTACAATTCAATTCCAGTAAGCTGCTTTGGCTTGTAAAAGAGCACCCTTCCATGGATTTCACAGATTACCTGACAAAGTGAGAAAATCATGCGGACAATTCTGTTTGGTTGTATTGTCAGTTTCTGTCATCTCTTCAGTGCCGGGAAAGAAGAAAAGCAAAAATCCCTTGAATTTTTGTTCAGTTGCATTTAGTTTCACATACTGTTAAAGAGGCTTATGCATGAAAACATTGAACGTGATCTTTATATGGACAGTATCTGTATATCTATCCTGGTATTTATTTGAAGAACAATGTAAAACATGACTCCCAGGAATCAGAAATATGATTTTGATGGGAGATTATATTCCAAATCTTCTCGTTTCAAAATCTCATAAATGGAGTTTGTAACAGACAACAAACAAGAGGAATTTAAGGATCCAAACCTCACCTACTTGAGGTCTCTTCCATATATCCAGTACGTACATCATCCTGTCTTCTGGATTTTCCTTTGCACATCTCTCTCACCCCTCCCACCACCACAGCTATACCCCTGCAGCAGCTTACTGGAAAGCGAGGTTGTTCGGTCAGCTTTACCTTTGCCACATAACCTCCTGTCATCTCTCTCGATTCACACAACTGAATTACACTTTTTCCCATAAAATGTGGATCTCCAGCTCTTTCTGAGGAAGGCAATCAATGGAATTCCCTGAGAATAGTTATATTCCTTGGTCAAATTACGCAAACCTTTTGCAGTCTTTCATATCATATTCTAAGAGATGCAATAGGAATACAAAGGTTTCATTTGAGGTTCAAAATAAAGTAAAGCAGCTTACCTTTAAGAAATGCTCTTGGCTAAAATCTGTTGTTTCATAGCAAACCCCCCGTTCCATCGGGGAGGCTGACCTTAACTATGAGAAAGAATAACCCCTGACCCAAAATAGTTTGTTCTGGACATTTCTATATTTTGACAATGTTTTGTCATGTGCTTTCCCCAGGACATCCTAACTGGAAGCCTTCTGATCAACTCATCTCTTTCTCTTTTTCCCCTGTCTTTCCAGGAGTTAATGAGCTTTCAGCTGAGCGGAAGCTATAAAAAAAAACAAAACTGGGAACCAAAAAACAAAACAACAAAGCACAAAACAACCACAGAGACTTCGGCTGAAATGAAAATGAAAGGAGAAATCGGGGACATGAACCTGTGGAGGGAGGCCGACTTTGCCTTGAACTGCACCTACATTGTCAACGACCAGCCTAGTGACCAGAGCACAGGCATTCCCAGAGCCATAACGTCCATACCACGAAACCTCACATTCAAGTATGGGCGAGACAATGAGGTATGTACTTTTCTCAAGACCCTTTGCAGTAGAAAGAGTGAAGCATCCATACTAACTGTGTTTACTACCTGTACACAAGATCACTAAACTCTGCTACTTTTTCCAGCCTCTGTATCTTTGGATCTCTCCTCCCTTCTATCCTCTTCTATCTCCCAATTTCAGTATCTGCAGTGGGAGTTTTCCATTTCACACTCCTGTTGTAAAGAGTTATAACCTCTTCTGTCTCTAGACTCAGTTCTCTTTTCTATTTGCCAATAGAGGCCAAATATACTTTGAGTATAGCCTTCTTTGTGGGAGTGTTTTCCAGGTTTGCTGTACTCAAATTCAGCTGGTAGAAAGATTAAACAAGAAATAGAGACCCAAAACGTCAGATGTCTTTCCCTCTCTCCAGCACTCTGGAATATTATGTTTCTCAGTCACTAAACATTATCAAAAGCCCATCTGAGCTTTTCAAACTGATTTAAATGAAAAATAATTGCCTTAAATGCAAAACTCTGTATGATGATACCAGCCTTTGGATACCAACACAAGTTCTGGTTTTACTACAGTATATACCTTAAGGCTGATCTCCAGACTAATCTGGTCCTACTAAATGAAAAAAATAGTTAACCCCATATCCCCACGAGAAAATAGGTTAAGGCAAGATAAACATTGTGTTTTATGATAGACGATCTATTAAACAAGTCTTTATGAGAAAGCACAGTCTAACATCTGATCTACAGAGGGTGCTGTACAGTATTGTGACAAAATAGTCCTGTTGTTTACTGTTATTTAGAACGTAGCTTTTGAGAAAAAAAGCTTAAGATTAGTCCTGACATAAAAATACAGCATGCAGGGAGATGACATCAGCTTCATAAAGATGAAGCTGTATAAAGATGATCCAGATGAGACAGATTGAGAGTTTCTCTTCTTTTTGTTAAATTTGCTTTCCACACATATTTATGAAAATCAGGAGGCAACACTCCTAATAGAAAAAAAGACTCCTCAAGTTGTAGCACATACAGAAGCTGACCACAAACTGCTGCATTATTGTGGGCTGGCTCCAGCCAAGGTATCTTTTTCCACAGTACCCCTGCTTCTTACCCAGTACCAGTGAACATCTAAAGTTTTTAGTGAACGCTTTGTTTGTCCTCTTTCTGATGCACTCCCAGATAGCATGCTGACATGTGTTTAGCATTTGGGGGGTTGCAGTTGGACCAAATTCAATATCCCCTAGCACTGTTAGTGATATGGATGAAAATAACATCCACCTCACATCAACAAAAGCTGTAAAGATGACGTGGGTGCACAACATTGGCAATCATTTGACAGTTGCCCATTTCAGGTGTAAGAATAATTCCGATTGTCTTTGTGTATTCTGCCAGACCCTGCACATTAATCCCAATATGTTCATTAACCAAGTCTGAGGCAACCCATGAACTATAAAAAAGAGATATTTTCATAGTAAAGTGGACACTATGTGTGGGGAGCGTTCTGGCGCACTACGGCTGCCGTCGCATCATCCAGGTGGGGCTGCACATTGGTGGTGGTGGTGGAGGGGAGTCCCCATTACCTGTAAAGCGCTTTGAGTGGAGTGTCCAGAAAAGCACTATATAAGTGTAAGCAATTATTAAAAGACAGTACATATTTGCAGCGCTGAAAAAGAAGCCATGGATGCTAACCATTTTATTTCTGTAGATAACAGAAGGCCAGTGCTATTCTGAGAGTTTTCACAGCATTATTCATTGAGGACTAACTTCCTCATATACCTTGAACTTTTCTCACATTTCTCAGCAAATGTGGTCAGAAGAGTTTTGAGAATGTTCACAGCTTTTTGAGGCCCACCCCCCTGATCTTATGTGGGAACGACATTCTTAACAAACACTTTCTCACTGCTGAGCACAGAGTGTGAACATGCCACTGTTATCTTCTTTATTTACATTTTTTTCAGAGAGCAAAAACTAATAAACAGCATAGTTTGCGTTGTTGTAACCATTTCAGGAAGGCAAAAAAGCCCAGTGCCATCTTCCTGAGAACCTTACCAAGAAGCTACACTTACAGTATTTCTGCTTCAGCCTCTTTCAGAGTTAGAATCTCTTTTTTCAGTTTTCTAACTCAAGTGCAAACATTACAAATGCAACAAAATAAATACATAAAGACAAGGCATTTCATCTTCCTAGTCTATTGAGACAACTATGTTTAATTAATTAAGATTTTATTGATTATTTGGCTTGAATTACTGTTGCATGTCCAGGTTTGTGTGTACTCTGCAAAAATAAAAAATGAACAGATGCAAACAGTTTATAAACCTGTTCACCATATCCATATATACAGTACTGTATTGCAAGCTCATACTCATATACCTTCATACTACACATTGCTCTCTCGTGCCTTCTTTTACCCTGTAACCTTTCTTCCAGCTAATTATTTGTCTTTTTCGAGCAATATCAACTACAATTCTGAATATCTATTTTCTATTTACACTTGTATTTTGGCATTGTGATCTTGAAAAGAGATTTTCAAGTTTCTTGTATATTTTCTAGGCTCTTCATACAGTAAGACCCATACATGTTCCTCATTATATAGTTATTGATATTTCCCAAACTATACTTTACCCATGCAGTATATGGTGTGAAAAGACTGGATACCTTTAATCAGACTGTCCAAAAACCACCACACCCATTAAACCAAAAGTCATTATTAACAGTCATATTAACAGAATCTGTGGTGAGTTTGTTATACTGTGCATTGGAAGATTACACAGGTATCACTACATACAGACATTTTTACAGGGTGTCGCTATCAAACTGACATTAAATCTGGCACAAGTGCTGGTTGTCAGTTTCAACCAGCAACCAGTGTTAACCCAACAAGCACTGTAAATCACTGACAATGCTTCTTTTATTGCATAACAGAAAAATTGAATTGCCCCAAATTTCCTGACAACCTTCACATAAAATCAGAAACAATATATTAGCTTGACTCTTTGTGGTCTTCTTAAATCACTGCTGACTTTTCTGAACTTCTTTGTTTCACTATTAAGTGACTTTTTTCAGAAGACTGCAACAGGCTATTTTTTAAAGAAGCTAAAAAAAACATGCAGAGCAGCCTGCAGGACTGGAAGACCAGCCTTTTCTTTAAATGAATGCTGTTCAATGCAGGCCATCAAAAACAAAAACAGAAAAACCTCCCTTTATTAGCACACTGCATCGCCAGGCAGTGTGAGATGACTTCACAACATTGTTTCATTTAGTTTCGAAGGGTGTGGGTGATTTCTGTGTATATTTAACATCCTCTATCATTAGAAATTAGGATCTGGGCCAGATCATTTGAAGTTTTTAAACACTTTTGAAAACAAAAGTCTGCAGAGTGCCCAGGTTCTGCAAAAATGCTTTTCTTGCGGCACTTTTATACGAACCAGCACTAAAGAAAAACAAAGGTGCAAAAAGTGCTTCACCTTCATGCAAGAAGCCAACGAAGTGCTTATTCCTTTTGACTTTAAGAGCAGCAAAAGTAAAAAAAAAAGTAAAACAATACTCCTGTTTCACTGATTAACATTGTTCATACTCCTGCTTGTCTCATTTTATCCTGAAATGTACTTGGGGAGCTAAAAACAGAAGAACAGCAAGTGTTCATTGATTGCCGCTGTAGTTCCAAAACAATTTATTTCAAAGGAAAGCTGGCATTACAGTACCTATTGCTTTTATGAAGAACTGCAAGTGTAAATATCAGATATAAGATTGCCTTCACTGCACAGTATCTGTATTATGATTAGTATTTTTTCTTAGTATATAAGTGTTTAATTTCTTCATGTGATCACCAGGAGAATAGTGTGTCTATCTGAAAAAAAGTGATTTAAGTTGCCCATTGCCTTCTTCTCTTTTAAGAATTATGTTCAATTTCTAGGATTACCTCAGTGTTAATAACATGCATGAATGTAAACATACAGAACTTTCTGGGCCTTTTTGTCTTCTCTGGTTTAGAACAGACCCTTGTGTGATATATTATTTGACCAGTGAAGAGTGTCTAGTCTTTGCAAAAAGCCAGAGATCCTTCATCTGTTAGTTGTAAAATTACCTGTTCAAAGTCGAGTGGTCCAACTAATTCATTGAAGGAAACAAAAACAGAGACTTTAAAAAAACACTGCAGGAAAGAAAGAGTTTCAAACCACTGTAAGCTTGCTTTGGCTCCCTGCCAAGCAATCTGACTGCTGAAAGAAAGCACTTTCTCTGGCTGAGCTGTGAGCTAATCATGCCTCAGCTATGTGCCTACTGTCAGACCCACACTTCCTCCCCCTGTGGAAATTTAGACACTCACAGCAATAGTGTGACATCATCATTTTCTCTGGAATGACTGCAGAGCTGGGCTTCCTGTCCTGTTCCTGTTCCTGAAAGTTCGTTACCCCCCACTCTCACTGGGCTTACACATCTCATTCATGGCCCTGTGCATCAAGATATACAGAAATAAAGGTATAATAAACAATATTAAAAATGCAGTGCAAAAAAACAGTACTAACCCCAAAATAAAAAATACAGTAACCGGGTACTATACAACTTGGTTTATACACTACAGTATGTCTTTACTTAACTTACAGGCAGCAGCTGTTCAACAGAGTTGGTATTTTCCACATTTCTACAGTAGATCCTTTTGAACTAACCTGAGCACTGCTACAGTACATTATACAAGCCTGAAAAAACCTTCACCACACTCCTTGGCAATGTTTGCTTGATTATTTTTTTTTTAATAATGAAAAATAACCTTTCCACAGGTAAAGACAATTTAACCCCATTATTTGCTTTTTACATTTCCTGTTCATCCACTACCAGAGAGCCACTTCTTCCTGGTGAAACTGGGTAATAATGAGCAGAATATGGAAGCTTCACACAATCTAGAATGAATCTTGAGGCCCAAACGCTGGAAATGAGAAGCATTAACCAAAGCAAACAAATAATAATTAAAGGGGAACTGCAATGTTATTTTTATATTTCAGGGTTAGATAGAATTGGCTATTGATGAGTGCATTTCAAAGCACAATGAAGTAAAATGTACACATGTAAAACCTCCAATTTATATCACAAACTAGACAAAATTTCCAGGAATGTGCTTCAGAATGAGGCAACAAAACGTCCAGTGATCTGATGCGGCCCTATGACACTGTAAACCAGCAGGTGTGTGAATACATCTCTTTTAATCCAATAGAAGTATTGCTCTCAACTTTGAGACAGTTTTGCCAACAAAAACAATACCACTTGTTATCTTTGCATGTAGATCACAATGGAACATTTCTGTTGCACAATCTGTACTTATTCACTCATACATCACATTACATTAGTCATTACAGTGACTATTGAGAAGGAAGGGCTGCTGCACATCGCAGTTCATGCAAACCCTCGCTGTCACCCATGGTGAGACCATGGCATGTTACCCATGACAGAGGAATCCTACTCCGTTGGGCCCTTGAGCAAGTCCCCAACTGCTCCAGGGGTGCCGTATAAATGGCTGACCCTGCGCTCTGACCCCAAGCTTCTCTCATCCTGTCTGTGTGCCTGTGTGTCTCATGAAGAGCAAGCTGGGTTATACAAAAAGACAAATTCCTAATGCAAGAAATTGCATATGGCTAATAAAGTGATCTGATCTTATTTTATCTTATCTTACCAGGGGTTTTCGACAACATGGTGACTATCCAGTACTTTCACAAACTTCACGATTTGAACATTTTGTGATATTGTCAATTAATTTATTTTGTTACGAAGACTTAATAACTGATCTGAGAAATCAGGACTGCAGTTCACCTTTAAAGGTTAACCACCTCTGCTCTAGAAGGATTGCCCTCAGTTGAAAATGTGATGATGGTAAATGTGATTGGGACTGAGTGGTACTGATTGGTCCCACTAGTTCCATTGTTTTGTGTAGCATTGTTCTGGCGTGGAAAGGTGATGGAAATCTGCCTCATGTTTCTCAAACCAAGAGCTGTCCCTAGAACTCTAGAGCTCCTAATCTTGCAGTATAAATCTCCAGGAGCCCCATTCACAAAATGTTCTTATGGGATAAGGTTTACTTTATCCATTTGCCTATTGTTGGTTAAAGTGCAACTTGTCACATAGGACCCTATTGTGAGTGGGGTTTCTGACATTTTCTCTTGTGCTCACGCTTGTGTTTTCTTATTCATTAATGAGGATTCAGCACAGTATCATGTAATATTACATGAAGCATAATTTTAATTGGCAGTGCCGACCAATCTGGAGAGACGTTAGAGCTGCGGAAGACTAAAGAAGGAGACGTCACATTGATTCTTGAATATCATCCATCAAGGACCACATGTGGCAGATGGGATTGTCTGTTGTTACTCAGTGTGAAATCTAGGTTAAGCGGTTGATTTACTTTCATTAGAGCATTACTAAGTCTTCATTCCCTACAAATCCTTGCTTAAGTTACCCCAGGACAGGGCCTGACTCTGACATGGAGTCATGCTGGTGCCTCTCTTAACCTTTCATTTGTTAATAGCTGTGCACCACAAAGAGATACACTTAATCATGGAGTGTTAGCGAACATCATTCAAACCCTCAACTCCAACACCAACACCAACACCAACACTAAGTAACAGTTTGTCTGTCTTATATCATTTTAGTTTTATGACAACAGCCCTTAGATGACAACCTGAAATGCTATTGGACACATTGACAATTTATATGGAATGTTGCACAAGATTTATCTTATTTATAGGTTTATTACTATCACTTTACATCTTGTGCCTAAATGTAACAATGTGCTCCACTCGTCAGAGAATGAAGCTATTAATATCTCAGAAATGCACTACTATAATATTATACACACTTTCAGGAGAAAATGCTAGCCAATCTTTTTTAACTTTGTAGTTTTAAATATTCCTACACAGGTCAGGTCTTTTCAGAGATAGTAATTACTGAAGTGATATTTTTCTATCATTGAAACTCTTCAATTTTGTAAAAATAAATTTTCAACACATACTGAATGTGAATTGAAGGACTTGTAGGCTCTCTCTAAAATATTTAGTTGACTCTTGATGGCTTTTGCCATAATGCTCTGCTGAACAATGTGACAATACACACGACAGAGGGTTAGACCACCTTAAATAATAAATGGAGAATGTGATACAAACATCTGAGAAGACCACTACATTGATGTTTGCCATTTTGGCTGCAGCCTGAGCAGAAGAACAGGCTTTGATTCCCATGTAATAGATCTTATTGCTCTAATGACAAATAAAAATGTCAATTAAGAAGGGATGAACCAGGCAGAACTTGTAACTTGTTTAATCTCCAAGCTGATGGCTTGTTTTCCAGAGCGTAAAGGGATAATGAGGGTGAAAGTATAAATCCCTTCCCTAGTTAAGCCCATGAAGGAATTAGGCCAATTTAGAGACATGGGTTTTATATTTACTGGTTTTGTTTACTTCTTTGCAGGTGATAGGAGTCTTCAGCAAAGAGTACATCCCCCAAGGAACACGATTCGGCCCACTGCTTGGGGAAGTCTACACCAAAGATGACGTTCCAAAGCATGCCAACAGAAAGTACTTTTGGAGAGTAAGTCAATGAGTAGAAAGAAACATCTAGCTGTCTTAAAAAATGTGTGGTGAAATCCACCTACAGTACCATCCAAAAATATTTTAGAATAGGCAACTGCCTCTGCTTTTTTGTGTAGTGTCTCATCGGGCAGTCATGAGACACCAAGCAGACAAGCAGTGGGGCTGGTGATGTCAGACCCAGGAAAGAATGCTGGGATAGATTAGAACTTGTCTGGGATAGTTGGGAACTATCAGTGACTGTGTTAACTTCTTGGACATGGGGAGAGCACAGGGGTTTGTGAACAAGTTATCTAGTGTATGTGTGTGGCAGTTCCCATGTTGCGTTATCTAGGTCTGTGGCCTCAGGTACCCACTCTGATGCGCCTGGTCTCTGTTAGTCGTGACGCCCACCTTCACTCCATGTTGTGGTGGATTTTTGCTAACTGGTGAGAGCAGTGCTTGTAAGGAGCAGTGCTGTGGCTAAAGATCAGCACCTGTAGCTAGAAGGTTACTGGTTCAAATCCTGCAGCTGGCAGAGGAATTTTATTCCATTGGGCTCCTGAGCAAGGCCCTAAACCTCAACTGCTCCAGGAGTGCCGCATAAATGGCTGACCCTGCGCTCTGATCCCAAGCTTCTCTCCCTGTCTGTGTGTCTCATAGAGAGCAAGCTGGGGTATGCAAAAAATATGAATTCCTAATGCAATAAATTGTATGACTAATAAAGTGATCTTATAAAAAAAATGGAACTTTGTCTTCACTCGATCTGAGCAAAAAGGCCAAGAAGTTCTTCTATGTGTTCATTGTTCACATTACATTTTCTATTGTCGTGCGCAAAGTCAGTTAATGATCCCAATATTTTTCTTGTGAATTAACCTCATTGCTTTACAGTCTGATTCTGTCATAATTCAATGCGTCACAATTGGAAATATATTCTAATATGTCAATTTAATTTATCCATCTATCCATTTTCAAACAGATCGTTCTAAATTTAGGGTCGCCGGGAGAGCTACTCTGTTTATTATGCTACACAATAGTAGATCCATACCAATTTTGTAATAGAATGCATTTTAATTAACTACTGTAAATGGGGAACATCACAAAATATTTAAGAAATGATCAAAACAATCATAGCTTGTCCTTCACATTATTTTGTATTGAATACTTTTCCGAAACCACCATTTCTAATCCAGTATTTAGTATTTACAAGAAGAAATACGTTTCCTTATCAAATGTTGCTAAAGATGCCAAGACCTACTGTATGTTTTATATAATACATAGTAAAGACCTTCAAAACAGACCTCCAGATTTCCTTAGGAGTTTCATTGGAGCAAATATTAATAGCCTTCAGTCACTGAATGCAAAAGAGGAGATCTACACACAGGAGTGAATTGAAAGCAATTTTTATTTTCTTTCTGGTTGACATTTTTTTTTTCTGATATTATGTGTGAATGTAAGCGCTGTGGCTATTGTGGATTTTTAGAGTGGCCTCTACTGACTGAGGAAAATCCAGACGTGAGTACTTCCTTGATATCAGCGCCAACTTTTCTCTTGAGGAAGTGAGAGACGCGCTGCGCCTGAAAAGGAAACGTTCGCTTTTGCTTTTGAAGTTTCCCGCGACTGACGGATTGCCGTCCTTATCTCTTACAACTGGAAGTGTGAGCTGCTTTTTTCTTCTCTCGGCCTGTAAAAATGGTGTACTGTTTTATGCAAATTGCAGAAGTCAGTAGTCATTTTACAGGTCTGAGCGGGGCTGAGATTTTCCCAGCTTCCAGGTTCCTGTTTTTTTATTTTTTGCGTCTTCAGACTAAACCAAGCCACACTGTCACGCATCACGCACAGTACACATGTACAGTATAAGACTAAGTCCGATCCTGAAAGGTTTCAGAAAAACCCGTGTCGAATGATATGGTAAGAGCCTAATCCTAGGCACCCTCCCAGTATTTATGGTAACCCAATAGTGAAAGCACTTGAACCGATCTGTAAGTGACTCAGTTTTGCTTTTCGTTCTCTGAAGATATTGCTCCGTATCAATTAAGGCATGAGGTATGAGGCAGCGCAATTAGGGGGTATTTGTGATGGTGGCACATTAATTCATAAGTTCAGGTGGGTAGCTCGTCAGCATGCGTAGGCTGCAAAGGAACAAGTAATAGGTTTATTCCATGCTGAAAAAAAGAAAAAAGAAAACACAACCTTTCGGCCGAGGAGCCTTCTTCAGGTGTGAGCCTCAACCGAAACGTTGTGTTTTTTTTCTTTTTTTCAGCATGTAATAAACCTATTATTTGTTCCATTAAATAGTTTATTTTTAAAGGGATCCAAGCCTTTCATTTCTTTGGGGTGTGAAAATAGGGAAATATTTTCTGTTAAAAGCCAAAGGCTATCTTCCTGGAAGAGAACATTATTTCAATAAGATTTTTTTTCCTTTCCTTTCTCTTAGTCATCCAGGTTCTCTTGACATCATCTTTTTTTGTGTTTCCCTTCTTGCTATAGTGTTTCTATTCACCTGAGAATCTGAGAACCAGAAATAAAACCTAAAGGATCATTCTTTACGATTATAAGCTTCATGACTATTCAAGAGCAGAGTTTCCATTTACTGGGCATGGCACTCTGGCAGTATACTGTAATTCAGCAAAGTCACTTTTCCTAAATAGTTTCGCTCCAGGGCTGGGCTCTGACGTGTTCATTTACTATGTTCTTTGTGCCCGTCACATGGCCTCAAGGAGTGTGTATACGTAAGAAGGAGTTGGCTTATTTTTTCCACAATTAATACCTTCATTAGTACTGGCATGTACATCATTACCTATGAAGGACCTACATTTAGGTTGTGAGGATTTTCAACTCGTGAAAGTGATAATTACACTAGCAATAAAAAGGGCAGTCCTGCATCTAGTTAAAATGTGTTTCTGATTTAAATCCAAATTGTTTTAAAACTTGAATGATTAGATAATTAATCTACAGTAAGTACTTCTTTGGCTCAGTCCTTTTTGGAGAATTACCATTTTCTTTTTTTGTGTTAGTCCTGAAATTTGTAACTGAGTGTTTGGGGCTTGTTTCTGTAAGAACCGACTACCTGAGGTAAAATCTGGAAGAACCCCCTCCCCTCCAGACACTCACAAACACATACTTTATGAAAAGTGGTTTCTAGGTATTATCCTTAATTAAATAATAAAATGGATGGCTTCAGCTACATGATGTCATGGAGAAGACCGGAAAAGGGCCACATGAGATTCTAAATTGAAATGTGTGGGTTTTTTTTTTAATCTATTACAGTAATGGTATAAAATCAAGTTCACAACCACAACAATGCATCTAAGGTCTGAGATGATGAGAGGGACTTTAAGTAAAGGGTTAAATTTGAAGAAACTCAGCCAAGCAAACAGGTTGAGGCTTGATAGAACACAAAAAAAAAAAATCCCCTGGCCAAAGACCAGAGACGTCTAATGAGGTTTCCTGTTTTATTACTTCCACTCTCCTTTCTATTTTCATAATGTGTGAAGCCACGCCCACAGGCCACGACTTAAATACTTCACTGCTAAAGGCGTGCGAGCAGAGCTAGTGTTGACACTCATCTCACTGACAGGGTTTACCTCATTCTACTGACAAGAGACGCACCACGGCACAGGAAACTACAGAGCACTTAAATGGCAGAGGTTAATACATACTTTTAATATCTTTCATGAGACTTAAAACTGCTTAGCGTGTACTCTTACAGTGAATTTATGGGATGTGAATTTATGGGAGGACATGATAATATTATCGTTGTGTGAATGTCTATGCTCACATGACATCTGTGTGTATTTTTAAAAATCATTCAGAAGATAGTGTAAACATTTGCATAATCAAGGACAGTTTCTTTTCTTTTTTTACAAATTTCAAAATACAAGACTGGAAAAATGGATCTCGTTTTTTTTTCTTTCCCATGGACGTAAACATTTTGATTTTCTCATTCACTATTATTATTTCAAACCGTGCTGTGATGGTATTGAAGTAATTTTACTCTGTTTGTATATATATATAGGGATCATGGAAGCATTGCTATTTTGAATATTTGTGGCTCTAATTGTAGGGGGGAAGGGAAATGCTTCCCTCTCTCCTGTTTATCCATTCGGTATTTTTCAAAACTGCTGGTACCTGTGCGGTCGTTCCCTTACGCTGTTCTGTTTTTCTTCTTGAAGATCTACACAGGTGGGCACCTGCAACATTTTGTCGACGGGTACGATTTGCAGAAAAGCAACTGGATGCGCTATGTCAACCCGGCACACTCCCTGCACGATCAGAACCTAGTGGCCTGCCAGAATGGCAAGGACGTCTACTTCTACACCATCAAGCCTGTGCCGCCACACAGCGAGCTGCTGGTGTGGTACAGCCGTGAGTTTGCTGACCGCCTGCACTACCCCTCTCCTGGAGACCTCCTCTTCTCCAAACATGGTGAGTCCACTTTCCAAGAACAGCCGGGTAGCGGACCGGCAGAGCTGATGGGCAGTGGGAGCTAAGTGATCGTTGTGGCATTATGGCCTTAACCCAATCCTGAGTCATTAACTTAAAGGTCATCAGTCATCATAGCCCTTTTTTAATTTATTTTGGCTTGTTGTGTCATATTGTGCATTATTAACATCAGTGTGTATTAACATGCATATTGAGAGGCATTAAAAACACAACGGTGCTATTGAATTCCAATGCTGGCTTATTATTTTCAAGGTCCCTCTGTATATAAATATTGTATATACTGTTCCAGATATTACAGATCCTTTTGCATCTCTTGTTCAGCTGGTCTTATCGTGCATGTTGAATTCAGACAAAGGCAAACATGCTATTATTGTGGTTAAGAAACGACAGGTGGTTATCCTGTCAAAACGTCACTTGGAGGACCTTAGGCTAGATTTTGAAATTATTTTTACACTTGTGTTGAGCGCCGTGATTGTGTGGAAGCTTACAAAAAAAACTTGGATGAGCTTGAAGGCTCAGCAGCGGTAACAGCGTTTTCATTTCCTAAAAAGAAACGTGAGGTTTTCTCACATGGCTTCACACAAATTCCTCTGGGACTTGCACGAGAAAATCTGTCTTTTCACGAGGTGTTTTTATCTAGCATCTTGCTTGCAAAACCTTGACCACTTTGTGCAAACCCAGTATTTTGATAAATGATCAATCCATCCCTGTGCTTCTTTAAGAGTGGTACCACAGCTTATGGCTACATTATGATTAGCAGTTGAGAGACCAAAGTCATGAATTAGCAGATGAATAGTTAAGCTACCACAAAACAATAAAATATTAAATATGTTACTGTTTAAGTACTGTATGTTAGACAATGTTTTAACAAGTTTTTCAGAATTCTAAATACTTGATGGGTATAGTTTGATTATGTCAGACATTCAGAGTTTAATACTATAGTAAACTTACAGAAACATCTTCTCACCATGTTATTTAGATGTTAGAATGCCTTAAAATCCAAAGTGAACATGACAGCATCATATGTTAGCTTTATACTTAGCTAGCTTTGAAAACACTGCTTGGAGTCTTCCAATGTGTGTTGCAACACATTTCTTCATTAAGCTGCACCTTTCTTATGATATTTCCCCACCATTATTTGGGTAGTTTTTAACGCTTAGCAACAACCAAATTATATTAGACATGACAATCTTTTTGTTGCTGCTCTTGCTCATTGTAAAGTCTGTTTTTGTTGTCACTGCTGAGGTTTTATTCACACAGTTTGGATAAATAAGACAGATTTCCATCTTAACACAGAAATCAAGCTCACCATGTGAAATAAAATGTTCACTCAGAGTCTGATTTTAACAGTATCAGATGACCTTCGGTAGAAAAAGATGCCAGCAGTTTTTTTTTCTGAATCTAAAAAGGGGTTTCTATATTTTCAGAAATGCTCAGCAGCATCTTTAAATGGTAATAGCATGTTTTCTGAGAAGAGCAGAATTGGTATTCTAAAACTATTGAGAAACCCACAGAGAGGAAGACATTTGGAGCCTTTTTTTGAATGACTGGGTTATCATAAAAGGGGTTTCATAAACTGTCTCTAATGTAGTTCTGGTTGTCAATGAAACAAAAAACAACAAGAATGAATCATAAGACTTTCTCTGAGGCGTCAGAAAATTAAAAGACAGCAGCACTATGGGTTAGTAAATTCCGTTTGAAAGCAATAAAACAAAATCCAAATCAAAACAAAAGTCTGTAAGTCTGAGTTGCTGCAAAAACTTGGGCTTGGGCTTTACATGCTAATTTAGACATTTCGTCACTGTGCCGTCATTGGCAAAATGTGAATACATAATTCTGCTTAAAATGGATAACATAAATTCAATTACATTAAAATGAACTCTTTGGAAAGATCAAAAAGGCTTTTCAAGCATGCCGTTTTCTCTGGGGGTTACTGCTGATTGAGTTTCTGAACTGATCTCATTTGACTCAGCAAGAAATAATGTCACAGTGGAAATGTGTGAGGCAAGTACTTGGCTCAAGTCAGAACTTTAGTTTGGGAGCGCTGAAACAGTTCTCTCGAACAGCAGTACCTTCATACACATGCGTTGTATCATTGCTTCCACAATTAAAAAGAAAAACTTAACAATATAAGTGTGAAGGAAACAGTAAAGCCATTAAATTGTGTATTCTGCCTCCTACCACTCAATAAAGCTTTTTTTCTTATACTGGAGTTGCAAAACTGGGTTATCATAAAAGGGGTTCGTAACCCCTTGAAAAAAAGACCTATTATACATCCCAAAAACTACAATTTCTAATGTTCACATGTTTAAGACATACCGGTGATTCATTGTCACATAAAGAACAAGCAGAAATAACTGTGAGTGGATGTGCCAGCTTTTTTTCTTTAATGTTTCCTGGGAAAAACTAGAAACTGGAAACCTAGAAATCACTTGTATTAGCCTGTTTATTTTGGTTCTGTTCTTTAACAGGATACAGTGATAAATACTTGGCTCTTGATTGTCTCTTCACAGACAGCTCTTAATCCTAATTGAAAGAATAAATGTTCACGGACTACAACATGCTAATCATTCTTTAGGTTAAATGTCTTTCAAAGGTTGTTTTTTTTTTACATTTTCTATGGAAAACAGCAGCATGGATGAATAAACAGGAAATGCTTTTTATAGGTATGATATGGACAAGACATCCAATCACACTATAAAAATATGTATTTATAAGAGAGCCACCAACATAATATCTCGGTAATTTGGTGAAATTTATTAAAATATATTTAGCTAATTTTTCTAAGGTGTCACTCTGTAGCCCACCATATCTGAACTTCGATCAGGCTGTCATGGTTAGTTGTTCTGTTTCAAATCAGTCTTTGGAAACACCCCAGTAGGTCTTCTTTCTATTTCCCTCCACTCAAACCCACATCTACACATTTCTGCAGTTTCTGAATCAAAGCAAAACTGAGGCTGCACCATCTTCTCACCCCTATCCCCTCCGTGTGGAGAGTAATGCAATGTTGTCAGTTTCCTGTTTTGTTCGAATTTGAGAGACGTGTGAGTGTGAACGAGCACTTGTGTGTCATACAGAAATTAAAAAAAAAGAATTGCGCAAATAGTTTCTGCCATGTCACTAAAAAATCTCAAAAATAAGTTTACTTTTAATTTTGTTCAGTCACTGGAAGGCGAGAGGCCATGAATATGTGCAGTTCTTTTTACTTATAACTTTTTTTTTAACCTTTTTTTCTCAGCCACAACTTATTATCGTTTGATTTTGTTTTGGCAGATCTTCAACTCAAAGTCTTTCATTTTATCTATTGAATTCTGAGGAGCTAATGCCCAAATCTGCTGGAGAGTGAAAGCCAAAACGATTATACAAAACAAGTCAGGCATTTCTATTGGATTTACCATCTTATTTTAAAAAAATAGATGTTTCCATTTTCATTTTAAGAAAAAAGAAATGTGTGAATGAGTTTAAGACTTTTTATGTGACGCTTACAGTTTCAGTTACAGAAGCCTCTAGGTCTCATACAAGAACAAAAATTATTAATATAAAAAATTCCAGGAACATCGTCTCACTCTTTAGAAAGCTTACAGATAAAATATATATTAAATAAGGTAGATTTTTATACCTATATACGGTAGCTTAAAGGCTGCTCTCATGCTATACAGCAAGTTCATTTTAGGTATGAATGAGAGAGCTAGATCAGTGTGCAAGTTGCAAAAGAACAAGAGTACAGTAATTTCATGCAGAAAAGTGAAAAAAGTGACAAAGCATAGCTTCAGCTTTGAAGCCCTCTCCAGACCTAAAGAAGCCTTTACAGCTGTGATGTTGAGCTTTTATTGATTTTACTTCAAAGGGTGCCCTTATTTTCTGTCCTTTTATACCTATTTAGTGGGTAATTATATTAGAATCAAAATAATTTCCTTACAATCTCTCATAATTTTTTCTCAATCCCTCTGATGCATTGTGTTTGTAGCTGATGAATCACAACGAGCTGACAATTACTGTAACCATTGTACTGGTCTATGGCGTGTCTCAGATCTATGCCAATTAGTTTCTTCCAGCTGCACAGAAACCACACAGCACAGACTCCAACACAGCCTGAATGCTAACATGCAAATTCTGCAAACTTGTAAAAGCAACACAAAATCAATTCTTACAGTTATATCAAATTGACCTGATGTTAATTTAAGAAAAAGCAAATCTGGGACTGACTCTACTCAAGGTCTGAGAAACTACACCTCAGAAACTCCATTTATAGTGTGTAAAATGTACTCCTTTCAGCTACCATTGGCTATGCTGCTCATTTCATTATTGTCACTTATAGGGGTTCTTGCCTATTCTCTTTCATTGCGTTGCTCTTATCTGCTCTACATTCTTGTGGCTAGTTTATTTTTGGCTTAAATAAAATCAAGTAATGTTACGTTAAAGCATTTTTATGTGTGACATTACTCTTCTCTATAAAGCCACTTAAATTAGAAAGCAAGGCTGTTGAGAGGCAGACTTTAGTAATGTGTGGAGCATTTTTAACCTCTTAATAAAAAGCTGCAAGCTGGGTTCTTGGGCTGTGGATAATTTAACATCCCCTTTTGAGGCTAAAGTACAGTAAACAAGTGCTATAAATGTGTCATCGGAAAAGACCAGAAATCATGTGCCTTACTGTTTGTGCCCCAGGAATTCTAAAGGCTATAGAAACTGAAAATTCATGAATGCCTGTGGGTTTGTAAACTGAAAAATGAGATCACTTTAACAATATCCAACAGCCCGGTTTGGACACCGAGCTGCGTGACTGTGAATTGGCAGACCCTGGGACATGATTGTGTAACATGCTCATAGCTCTCCGGCGTGGATTTGCCAAGTGGAAGTGTGCCTTTAAATGCCTTTGCCATCAATCAGATCATAATCAAGGGTTTCAATGCAGCGTTGTCAATAAGGAGCCAGAGTAAGGCATAACTTGTCTAACGAGTCCTCCGAGAGGATAACAGACACCACTTTGTGAGTAATCACTCTGTGATCTACCTTGTACAGAGGACCACATACAGTGTGGAGCCACACAGTGAAATGTCAGGCTGGCAGCAAACCATAAGCACTGCCGCAAAGTGCAGTCAGTAGTTACTGCGGATTAAGCCTAAGCTTCTACATAAGTTTTACATAAGTTTCATTAAAGCACAATAAACAGATTAGTTTTATTGGCCTGTCAAAAGAACACACAGGCGAGAGAGGGAGAGGTGAACAAAATACAAATATTTTATTTATTCAGTATCCGGAAGCTGCTTATTCTTGGTAATCCCACAAGCACCGGGTGCAAATCAGGACCCCTGACCAGGACATCAGTCCATCACAGGGCACACACGCACACCGACAATTTAGAGACCCCATTCAACATAGTCCGCATGCCTGGTGGCAGGTGGGAGGAAACCAAAGCAACCAAAGACAACCCACATGGAGTGAATATTCAGACTTACAGAAGGTGCCCCGTTTCAAAATCAAACCCACAGCAGTGCTGCGAGGCAGCAACAATACCTGGCTCGCCACCATACGAGCCTCTTAAAATAGTTTCTAAATACATATCTCAATCTGTTTATTTCAATTCACCTATTGTTTAACGCATTTCAGTTTGTAATTCACTGCCTCCGGTACTGCAATCCAGTTCAATGATTTGGGTTTTAGGCATTATTAACATTATTAACCCCAGGTCTATCAATAAGACCTATTGATCCAAATAACTGAGTTGCTGGATGTAACAAACAGCCTCGTGTATGACTGTTAAGGGTAGATGGGTGTATAATGCAGGTAGACAGGCAGACAAACAGATACAAGGGAGAATAAAGCTATGTTGATTTTCCATATCAGCTGCTACTCCCACTCACTAATTTCTTGACTCAGTTTATTTCTGTGATTCAGCGCTTTTGCATTTAACAACTCATTTCTAAAGAGGCAAATTTCAAGGCCTACTGGACCCACCTACTTCTCTAACCACAGAGCTTGCTAATATATTCATTTGTCTTGATAATTTTACAAGCAAACAAAGATAGTTCCAGGCTGAATTGCAGAGGCTCACTAACACATGTATTGTATTGAGAGAGTTGCAAAATACATAGTGCTTTATCTAATACCAATATTAGATCAAACAAAAAATGTTTGAAGACAGCTAATTTGCCTGATATCCTGCTTTCAACCCTAAAATCCTAAAATTCCTGAACTGATCCAGAAAGTTTGTTTTGAGAACAACACTTTGTATGGAAAATAGATGCTGATATGATCTAAAACGTGAATCCACAGCTCAGCTGAAGTATGGAAAACTGCCTGTTTTCTCTCAGTCCCTCTATCTCAGCCTTGTTCTCTCTCCTTCTGTTCTCCTTCTTGTTCTCTCTCCAAGGCTTCTGTCCTTCATTCCTTTAATACTGTATGTGTCTTGTGCTCTTTTCGCCCTGCTATAGGCCACATAACCAAGGGTATCAGGGATTCACCTTCAGAGAGCCAAAAAGACCAGCTACCTCACAAAGACAAGACCTTTGAGGAACACCAAAATGCAGAAGCTAAGGAAACAAAGAGAGAAGAAGAAAGAAGGGACAAAATGGAGAAAGAGATGGAAGAGGATGAAAGGATTGATGTGGAAGTGCTGGACAGAGACACACCTCCTGTCACTCCTGATAACCAAATTGTGGATTTCAGCAAGAAGCTTTATGAGTCACATGCCAAAAAGGACACATATGCCCCAGCAGAGCCTAGCTACTCCCCTTCACATTCTTTGCATGGAGACACCCAGGACCAAAGAGCAGAAGTGCCCAGAAAGCCAATGGGTCCTTATTGTTGCTCCACAGACACGCCTACCTCAAGTCAGAAAGAAATCCCCTTGCATCTTCATGGTCTCTACACCCACAGAGAGGGTCTGGTGTCCTACCCTACATATCCCCCAACCAGACACCTCCAGCAGCCTTGCCTCTACCCTTACAGCTCACATTACCCCCGCTTTGTGCTACCTCAATATCCACCCCCGTTCCCCAGTGTCTTGTCCAGGGTGCCCTCAGCCTACAGTGGTTACCTGAGCAGCGATGGGCTACCTTACCCCCTGGTGTCACAGCCCAGCCTGCTACCTGTGTCCATACCCTTCCAGGCTCAGGCAGGCAAAGAAGGCCTGATCGTCCCCAGTCCCCCCACTGCCTTCTCCCTCACCTCTCCTGGTGCTGGTGGACTGAAGGAGAGACCCCCCAACAATTCCCCACCCAGCGGAGCCCCAGCTACTCCTGAGCACTCACCATTGCCCAAGCTGTCTTCACCAAGGACAAGCGAGCGGGAAGAGGCCATCAACCTTAGCACGCCAAAGAATAGTCAAGCCACCACAGTCCTGGGATACAAGTCTCTGCCCTACCCCCTGAAGAAGCAGAATGGCAAGATCAAGTATGAGTGCAATGTGTGCCTGAAGACCTTTGGGCAGCTCTCCAACCTAAAGGTAAGTGATCCCCACTTGTCCCTCTCTGTCTAAATGCATGTCTTCTGTGGCGATCATGCTGCATGTTTCTATTTCTGTACTTCATGCCCTGTTCTGAATAACCTGAATAAACATTTCCCTAGACAGTTTCTGAATCCAGGGTAGTCTGATGGCTTTTTGGTCAATTCCAAGGCATGTACGTCTACTACTTACACAATAATAATTTGCTCTCAGAAAACACTTACTGAAACTAAAAGAGATACTACTGATGTTTTTAAATTAAAGTGTTGCCAGTTATATTGGGGTGTCCTTTCCCAAGTTTTTCAATCTTCATTATTTGGAGATCATGAATTCACTGTTTTATGTTTCAATTACAGAGCTGCCAATCTGTTGACCTAACAAAACTACAGTATGTTAAAAACTATTAAATATGAAGGTCAGATTTAGAAAGCAGTGTCATAGTCATGCATGATACAGTTTTTATTGAATAGTCCATTACTATTATGTTTACACTTTAGTCACTTGGCAGTTTACCACAAAGCAGCAGCATTTCCTCAGTTTTTAGGCTTCTGATTAAAACTTGTCTCTTTTGTTCTGCCCATTACAGGTACACTTGCGGGTTCACAGCGGAGAGCGGCCCTTCCAGTGTATGGTGTGTAAAAAGAGCTTCACCCAACTGGCACACCTACAGAAACACAACCTGGTCCACACTGGAGAGAAACCACATGAGTGTCAGGTACAGAGCGCTCTTCCCTGCTCCCTCTGTAAACTGGCGGAACCCTACTGCCACCTTTGAAAACATATTACACCATTGATATGTTAGATAATATGTGTTGCTTCTGAGAATGAATAACATAAGGCATAGCAGTTTGCTCTTTCTAATGACCTTCAGTTGAACAATTTGGTGTCTGGATGACAGCAGCCACCCACATTAACCAAGAAAATTTAATCCCAGTTCTGTTGCTTCCTGCAGGTGTGCCAAAAACGTTTCAGCAGCACAAGCAACTTGAAGACGCATTTGCGCCTCCACTCGGGAGAGAAACCTTATCAGTGCAAGCTGTGCTCCACCAAGTTCACTCAATACATCCACCTCAAGCTGCACAAGCGCCTGCATAGCCGTGAGCACCCTTACAAGTGCCACCTGTGCTCTAGAGCCTTTGTCCACCAGTTCACCCTGCACATACACACCAGGGGCTACTGCCCTTCAGTGGCTATGGCCGGGCAGTCCATGGAGGAGCTGAGCCGCATGAACGAGCTCATCGACAAGTTTGACATGAGTGCCGACGCCGATACCCTAGAGGAGCGGGCCAGCTTGGCAGAGGTGGATGCAGTGGTACAGAAGTGGATCATCAAGAACATGGAGAAGAAGGAGGGCAAGGAGGACCAGGTCGAGGTCTGCTTCCTTAAGAAAGAGAGCCTACACGCTGCTTCTTTTCAGGAGAGGGACACCGTCGTTCACATGTACCGGCCCCCAGCACACCTACCCCTCACTGTCAAGCAAGAGCTTCAGTAGATTCTTTGGTTGAATGGACAGGGGTGTGAACTTAACCCAAGTGAAAACAAAGCCCCTGTTAAATCATCAGCAGTGAAATGCAAATAATGGGAATCGCCAAAAACCTTTTAAGGAATGCCAACAAACCAAACAACTGCTTCCCAAAGACAGCCCCAGAAAAATCACTGTAATTGCACTTGTGCTATGAACAATCGTCTCAGTTCTTCTTTACCAGCTCGCAAAAGAGAAACCTTTTTAAACCTTTCCCAAAAGAACTGACTTTCCTTTGTTTTGTATATGTGCATGTGTGTTCTAATTTATTGAGAAAACATGTTTTGTAATATATTTTAAAACCTGTATTTTATTTAAGTTTGTTTGTGCGTGTACGTCTTTACCTGTAGTAGCATTAGTTTAATTTAAACTGATGTACCTGTGACATACTGGGTCTTCTTAAATTAGAGCTAGCATTAATAAAAGCACATCTCTTCGGCTTGAAAGGCTATATGTAATAGAAATGATTAATGAAATGCTTACAGTTTATTTAAGGTAGCAAGGCAGGAATAAACTCTCAATTCCTCATTAAGATGGGTTTTGGTATGGTTGCACAACCGTCATGCAGTAAGACAACAATGCATACTTTATTAATTTATCAGATCAGGGTTTTCCAGATTATGTCCCTATTTATGAAGATGAAATTAGTGGTAAGCATATATTTAAAACACTTCCCTAATGTTCCAATGTTCTTTCCTAGTTGTACAAAGAGTGCAAATCATTTTGACTGCAAGCAGTTTTAGGTTTTCTTTGTTCCCTCCAAGGAATAAACAACACTTTGTATTCTTTGTACTTTTTCTTCAATTTAAAAAAGAGGAAGATTGTTTTAGGTTGGTAGGGGAAATTCAGCTCACCGAGTCTGATGTTCCCATTTTATGTTATGTTGGTGTTGTTTCTTTTCTTTTTTTGATATTTTTGATAAACAGATAACAAAGGCTTTATAAAACAAGGATGTTGGAACTGCATGTGTAAAATGATTGTACCACATAAGCCAAAAAAAAGTAGAATATTTTTTAAGAGAACAAATACAAGGTGAGATGATAGTTCTAAATCTTGATAGTTAATCAAGATTGTCTTTGGGCCCCAGCATTAAAAAAACCCATACTAAGCCTTTAGATTATCCTAGATAGCATGTACCTGATAGACAACTTTCACAAAGACCAAAAATAAAATGTACAGCAATTAAATAATACTGAGGTTGGAAATTCAACTTACATAACTCTAGTTATGTTTTTATCCAATCAAGAAAGAAAACTGTTTCTGCCTGTAGCACTTTTAGATAATGTTTTTATTGACACAAACTTTGTGAGCAAAGGGACATATTTTTAATAATGAGCAAAACCACCAGCAATGCACAGCAAGCATCATGTTAATTCTATGCCTCATTGTAAGGAATTCCCACAACAGTCACAGACGCAAATGAAAGTATTGTAGTTCAGGATATTTCATACCAGGCATGATGCGCCAAGTTGTTGCTAAATCCACAGAAAAAGACTAGCAAACTTCCCTTTAAATAATGTTTTGCACTGTTTTGCGAAATTAGCTTTAAGCATATAAACATACAATGTTTTGAATTGTGTCAGAACTTACAGTAGATGTGCAAACCAAAGTACTTAAAAAAAAAAATTAAAACATAAAATTGATTTGCGGTATTTATGGTATGTAGGCACATCTTCTTAATCACTTTTTTTACTGTAATATGTATTTTATCAGCAGAGTCTCTTAGACCATGCTGGTGGTCAGTCTGTTTGGTTAATCGGTGGATGACTCATGACTGACTGTCAAAACGTACATATCTGTTGTGAAAGCCATAACCTAGCAAAGTTAGAATTCCGGTTGAGTCTTACTATTGACTTTAACCACTTGTTGCTGAATCAGTAAATTAGTACATTAACATGGGCTGATGATTTCAGCAAAATCATGTGGATAGGCAAGCACTTACAAATAGCTCATTTTTTCTCAGGGCTAATCATTCTTTTTATAAATTAAAAAGAAAACCAGACAATATCTCAGGAACTTTTTTATACCACACTCAGGATAATGGAATTATCAATAAATATATTTCTATTTACACCACTTTATCCTTTGGCTTTAAAATCAGTATTCCCAAAGCTCCGAACAAATCAACTTTAAGAATAGGTCTGTGTGTTGCTTTGCTTTATATGTGAATAAACACCAAAGCATCTGTTACTGATAAATAAAAAGGTTTAGACTTTTGGTTGCTGTTAGTTTTGTACAGGTTGTCTCTGTTTAGATATTTTGTCTATGTTTACAAGCTGTTTACACTTTATATGTGAAAGATTTATTTTGACTAAATTTTTTATAATGTATGTAGCACATACAATAAACAGTCTTATGTTTATACAAATGTGTGAGCTTTTTTTCCTAGCGTCCTTGTGTGTCATTTTAAGCGAACAATAAAGCCATATCCTCCTAAGCTCTCAAACTGATACTAGTTACTTCTAGATACTAGAATAATAGTGTAAATGAGACAAACTACTGCAAAGTCTAGACTCAAAGCAAAATCAGTCCATACAGAATAAAACTGCCTTGTTAATTATATCTGTTGAAATCCAAGATAGTAATTCCTAAGAACCTAACCAAGGGCTCAATGCATTAACGTTAGTGCTACCAGCAATGTGCAGATTAACTTGCTAATATCATCAAACAGAGGATAAACCACATATTGCCAAATATACAGTAAACACAAGTACTGATGGTAAAGGGCTTGAAATATTAATTAATATTATATTAATATGTAGAATGGCTAAATAACAATAGTGATTGTGTCTAATTATCTTTTAGAAATGGCAGAGATGACTCCTTTTCTTCATGGCACCTGATACCTGTTCATATATACCAATTTTGCACTTTAATAACATGGGCCTGTCTTGATTATGATGAAAATACGTTTTAAATGCTTTTAAAATGAAGGATTTCAGATTTTTCCTTGTATTTTTATGATATACTGGGAGTATGCCAAGCTGTTTTACGACTGTCAGCTGTTTAAGACTCTTTAAGATTTCAGGTAACAACATGCACATGTAAACAGCCCACCATGTACCACGCACACTGTACAGATGTACCTCCTCTCTCCGAGTCACATGTGCATGTATACAAATGCAAACACACAGAAACGTCCAGAATTCTAACCATAAAGGCTGGAAATTAGAAGCACTTAATACCCTTATTTCTCAGGTTCCTGTAAGTTCTGTAGGCCACTACTCCACCTAAGCTCTGTTGCCTGACTGTCAATTGTTTACTTAGTGCAAATGACTATTTTACTCCTACTGACTATATAAAGACTCTTTAAACCCACTGTACTTTAGTTTTTGGGGACTTCTTTTTCTCTTGGGTTTTTAACACTGTTTTCTCACTGTTCATTCTTTTTTCATTTGCTTGCTTTAACATGGCTCTGCAGCATGAATCAACGTGGCACTAGGATATTTTTAAAGATGAGTGATATTTTTGGTGTTGTTTTGATAAAAACTGGTCTTTTTTTTTTTTCAACCATCAGCCGGCCTGTCAATTTCATGACTGTAAATAGATCATATCGAGCACAAGGCACTCAACATGGAAAGTTTACCTACAAACCTCTTCTTCTTCCTGTAACTGTTTTTTTGTTAGCACTGTTATTTTAAGGTTACGCTTGGTGGATAGTGGGTAGTGTAGTTAACCTGAAACAATAAAAAGCATCTGGGTGTATGTTGTCACAGATAGACTTTTGAAGCTTCACCACTAACAGGTCATTCACCTGTATTTCTTTTCCTGGTTGAACCACCCTGTGTCACTGACCAGCTCTACTGCATGTTTGGACAGCTTCATTTTGAATTTGCTTTGTATCACAGTACATTTTCTTTCTTTCTCTCTGCTTCATTCCTGATGAGGCTCCACAGCCACAATGTTGTGTTTTTCTTTCTTTCTACTTTATAGCAAAAATTGTACATTTAATAATGTTTTTCCATTGTTATTTGCTGTAAGTAATGGTACTCATGCAATTTTCAAGTGCTAAATATGATATGGTTATATTTTATTAAACCAAACTTTTTATATTCTGGCTCTTATTTAAATGTGTTTCTGACATTTGGGGCGCTGTATAAATGGCTGACCCTGTGCTCTGACCCCAAGCTTCTCTCCCTGTCTGTGTGTCTCATGGAGAGCAAGTTGGTATGTGAAAAGACAAATTCCTAATACAAGAAATTGTATATGGCTAATTAAGTGATCTAATCTCTCTCGTTTTTTCTCCTCTTTTTGTAAAATAATTGGAATCATCAATAATTCTTTTGCGTTAATGTCCTCCCAGGTATGCATCGTCCACTGTAAATGAAGTTGGTTTATCGCTGCAGTACGAAGCCCTCTCATTTGACATAGACCTTGCTGGACATATTAAATAAGAAGCTCATTTGGAGCTATATTTTTGTTAGTCAGTCATCTCATCTTAACTGAAAATCTGCATCCTCACCATTACACATGCAATCTATCAAATCATGAAAAGATTAAGTGTTGTTACAGGAACTCTGCTTTGGTCAGGCAGCAGACCCTAATTTGTTTTTAAAACCTCTCTCAACTGTTATTAGAAAACTCCATTCTTTTCTTTCCTTAATCTTTTTTGTTGGTTTGGGTTTGTTCATTTAGTCATACATTTGCATTGCTTCATATTTTGACCATGTTTTGTGGTATTTTTTTCCCCATGAAAAAGACGCACAATTCAATGAACCATTGTGAAAAAACACACAGTATGATATCCAGTGTGTTATGACATTTGGGCACCAACAAAAACTACACTCCATAGTCTTGACTTACATATTTGAAAATACAGAACCCATTTAGACATAATTGACCATGCTTGTAAAGAGATGCAGTAAGGCTACATAGTGATAACTGCTGCTGCATTACTTTAACTCCTTTGCATTATTTGATGAAACAAACTAAAGAAAAAAAAACAGTGGATCAATGAGACAAAAACAACCTTTTTTTAAGATGCAAACCTTGACTAACTGATACAGATGATTAGCCTAGGAACAAGCTTACACTTGCTTACCAATCAGCTACCAATTTTTAGTGTATTTTTTCCCTTGGCTTGGGGCCATGCTTTCGAGTAATGAAACCAAACCTTACAGTAATACGGGAGGAAAACAATTACAGTAATAAAAAAGTTTTTTCTTTTTCAGAGTTTAATTTCTTTTTCCATGCCCTAAAACTAAGCCCCTTTCGGAAGCTGAGAAACAAGAAGAGGGAAAACCCCCACGTTCATTTAAAAAAAAAACACTATCGCATTAAAAAAAATCGAGAGAGAGGAAGGAAGCCGGAAAAAAAAACTGTGAAAAAAGCTTCCGTCAGCCAAGGTAGAAGACCTGGACTCTGCGTTTTTTTTTTCATGAGAAAGCTAATGTGCGGGGGGAAGTTAACGGGTCTTGAGCAACTCACCATTTTGCTGTAAATGACGCGGACTCATTTGCTGCGTCAATGACGGAGGGCTGGTTCTGTCCGGGCCCTTGTTTCCTGTTTCCTTTCTCTTTGCTCCGTGAAGCCATTTCTGTAGAAGCCTTAGCCATGTAGTTCTGTGAAAGAAACTCCTGACTTGTTCCCGTCTGATGTGCAACAAAGGACCGTAAACAATCTTTCACCAGTGCCTTTCTGTGTGCTTTGCAGATTTTTTCTACCAGCAGAAGAACTGCATTTCTATAGGACTTTTTTTTTACAAAGCTGATAAAACTAATTCAAGTCTTACAGTGGAAGACTCCAGCAGTGCCCTGGAATCTAGCAGTGCCAATGCCAACAGAGAGTGTAGTATTTTCCCTATGTGAAGGATTTTCTCCGTAGGATTTCTCTGTGTGTAAGATTTGCCCTGGATGCAAGATTTTCTTGTGTGAAGAACATGCTGTACAGACAACTGTTGTTGCCACAAAGAATCTTATAGACAAGGTGAACAATCATATTGTTGTATGGAAGTCTGTAGAAAAGTCTCAGATTTTAACTCTAAATATATTGACCCTAAAATATGTGCTTTTCTAATACCATGTTTGGTACATAGAGGAGGTGTTCTAAAGTATAAAAGAATGCTTGTGAACAATGATAAGCAGATCAGATAGGTAGAGACTCACTCTGTCACTCTGATCTCTGTGTTACTAAATAAACCTCTTTCAAATTTTCACTGAACTATGCTGAGACTCCTTGCTTTTCAGTTTTATTTTTTGGCAGTACTGTGATTCCTTCATCCCAATGGCAGCAGTGAAAATAATTGCAACTCCACCGTGGGAGAAAACAAAAACTGCATGATACATCTCATGTCAAGTGAAAAAAAGTGCTTTCCCTAGGGAAACAAAGAGGTATAAAAAGCCTGCCTGTCATCTTACATGCTTTCAAGGAATGTTTTTCCACCACGTTTTCAGTTCCACATTCACACAGCTCAACATTTTTACTGAAAATTTACTCCTCTCATTCTGTCAGCTCAGCGCTGCCATGAAATTGCAGTTTCTGTTTTTTTTTGGCCACACTTTTAAGAGGCTTATTGTCAGCCTGCACAAACCTAGAAATGGTTGGAAATGATTCACAAATTATGGTTATAATAAGAACAAGGCAACTGTGTCAGGATGGGATTTTACAGACAATGAGTGAGAAACAATTGTTCTTTTTTAAGCAATTGACTGTGTTTGACCATAAATGTAAAAAATAGGATTACCCACAGTATAGGCTAAGGAGTTTCCAAGTGGCCAAGGACCTTGTACTGTACATTGTCTCTGAATTGGAACAAAAGAACATGGTAATGTGTGGAATTACAACACAGTTGAAGAATACAGAAACATAACATTTCAAGATAGCCTTGTTGTTTATTATTATTGCGTATAACAGTGTTTTATTTGAATTCTTCCAAGTAGTTTTTGGAATAAATATTTGGTTTAGAATGGTATCAATGCTCAACTTTGATACTAATTTGTTTTTATTTTATTTTATTTTTTTAAATCTATCCAGTTTCAAAGAGTCTTGTTGACTCTGGGTGCCATCACAAATTAGGTTTACAGTTAGTCGTTCATGTCTCGGTTAACATTTTCATTTGTTCCGGGCCTTAATCCTTGATATGCCTTAATTATTAAATTCCTGGCAATTGTTAATTTAGTCAAAATATGTAAACAAATGGAGTAGAATGCTTTAAATACTGAACGTACTTAACATCACTTGACACTCCACCCATCTTCTGCCATGGGACCTCCAGGTACTGTATCTCATTTGTGGTCAGGCACTTGAGCATATAGTCAGTATATGTCAGTATATCATGTCTAATATTTTCATTAGCCAGTCTTAGAAGGGATACCCCATGTAAATAGTATTTAGATGTG